TATATATATAACTAGACGAAGCTCGTGGTTGTACGGCAGTGAAGCATCAGTGCCAACACTGATGTTGCTGTCTTTGATGACGATGTTGATACTTCAGTAGCATGCCCGCCCATCATCTGTACTGTGACTTACAAGATTTTTTGTCTTTCCGTGCCTGATTTGCTAGTGCACCCCGCTCAAACTGTCCCCCTACACAGCCGGGTTTTCTTGGACCCCGATCTCCTTCTCTATCAAGCATATGCAAGGGTTCTCCGAACAGGACTCATCACCCCTGATGGCCTTGGCTGAGGAGCAAGAAAGCTGTCTCAAAATCCAGCTGGAATCCCTGCAGCAGTCTTCCATGGACGATGGATTTGCACCACAGATGCACAATGACTTACACGAGCGAGGCTGTTCATGTCCACAAACCGAGATTGACTCGATCTTGGATGACGTCCAAACTCAGTTGGATGGTGCGGATGCGTTGGACTTGTTTGCAATCGAAAAACTTTTGTATATTCTGTTCTCTGTGCAAAAACCTGCGGAATCAGAGGACCCTTCGGTAAGCAGTTTCTGTGCGTCCTTATGAAAACCTCCCCTAGACGTTACCGTGTACTCTAAATCGCTCAGTTCACTTGGTTGCCCAAGGACCTGAAACGTATTTGATTGCAGCACAGCTCTATTAATCTGAAACACATGTTTCTTGTTCAGTTGTGGCCACTGTTTTGGTACTGTCAGATTATTGGTTGTTGATCACGTGTCTTTGAAAGTCACTCGCCAAGATCGGTGAACAAATCAACAGCCATCGGATCAACAACCAATAAACTCACCCGAGCCATACTGTCACATTGTCCAATAGCAAACAGGAGCAATCGGAAAGCCAGTGTTGGGATCGAAACACAGACTTTCAGAGCCAGTTGCCTTGCGTTCAAACCTCTTATCGATCTGTAGCCTATTATGCCAGTCGGCAGGTAGATCCTACAGCCAATTCAGGGCCGCAACAGGTTTCTCTTAGTAAGGGCCAATGGATGAAGGAAATGTCCCCCTTTGACCTAGTTCTATTGATTTGTCCCATATTCGAACGCACGACTGACCTTCAGAACTGGCCGAGTCAAATCCGGTACAGCGACCTCGTCTCCGAAAGATGTAACCACAATTTCATTTCGTTCCATTCTGGTGAGCTCTGTTGGTCCACAAATGTGGCGTTAGCCGAGTAATCGATAATGAGCGCCAATTGGTTGACCTTGAGTTGAGTAGCAAGCGGTGGTCCTGATTTGTTTGGTTATAGTACTCATCTACCCAATTTTCAGGCTGAGCGAGTGATCTAACGATAACAGAGGAGAGGAAACCTTTCCAACATCTCCCTCCATATTGTGAGGAACAATTATGGTCAGATTGATCGAGTGGACTGAATCGTTTCGAAGGTCCGGGTTCGAATCTCACGTGCGCGTCAGCCCTCTTCTTGAAAATACGCACACATTTAAGAAAGAGAGATAAGAAACGAAACTATTCGGTAATTGGTCAGGTGTCTGTTAATCTGTCTGGCAAGTTTATCAGTTAGCTGATTGTCTAATGACGAACGGATCCAAGCTACAAACGGCCCAACACAACATTATCAGGATCCCTGCCTGGTGAGCCCCCAGAGGGGCGAAATCGGTTGCGGGCTGTCGAAGAGTTCTCAGCAACCTTGTGAGTAGTTTCCTTTATGAAAATTATCAGGTTCCCTTTTCAAACACATCCACCAGATGACGGCTGTAGGTCTGAGGAAGGCAATCAAGAATCTGAAAAGACTGCATCAATGAAAACAAAACGATCCGACCGTGTTTGGATCCCAGTGTTACTATGGCAACTGGTGTCCAGTGTCCGCAATCAGTACCTTCTGGCAAGTCGAGTTACAGGGCGGTTCTGTTCAAAATAAAGGCCTAAAATCACCGAAAACAAAAGCAAAGCGCGCTAGATATTTCGTTGGAAAAGGAGACCTTTCAAACTTTCACATGTTCTCCTTTAGAAGAACGAATTTACCGCACAAGTGGACGATTTTGGTCAGCCCCATCGGTTGTTTGTTCAGTGCCGTTTGTTTGAACAAAGTTGGTGATAGGAGACTGAAAACAGTGAAACTATACCACCAGTTTAACCCTATCGCCAAGTTCTGCGCACCCTAACTTTTGTCGACTAACTAGAATAGATAATTTTACGTACGACCCTCTGCATGTGTTTGTTCGTCAAATTGGTCGCAAAAACAAGCACTGTCGAGGTGCACTTCTCATAATCTCGCGACTACACACAACCAATCAATCGAAAACAAAAACAAAATCGGTTGGCATGATTACGCCTCAACTTGATATTCAATCCGAATCGATATGAATCGATATGACATGCACATGAAAGGTTGTCGGGGAAATTCGCTTCAGTAGATGAATTTCTTCTCAGTTCCGAAACGTCACCATGACTTTACATGCGACCGATCAATGTAAAGTCGACTCTGGGACTGTGTCCGAGTGTCCTCATACCGCATTTTTGCACTGTGATCATGACCAGTTCCACTGGTCACAGTTGCTATGACTGTGTTCCTAGGATGATATGGGGGGGGGCTGGCTGTTATACTCTTAGGTGTTGCAAAGTGAGGCATTGGTCTCAGTTCAATAAACAGAGCGATGCTTAAATGGCGCAATACTGGCGGTTGCTAAGTAATGATACACCTGTATCCTAGATCGAAAAACCTGTCCATGATTTACATCAACATCCCAGGTGTGCTTGAGAAATTTCCAGGACCATGTCTCAATTGAAAACCTCTTCACACCCTGATCAATCTATAAGTGGCTCGGAGGAAGTGAAACATCCATCTGAGAAGTTCTCACTCGAGTAGCTAACCACGTGATGTGGTTTTTCGGATTAAAGGCCCTATCTCCTGTTCAAGTGAGAGCTAATCACACTGCTGTTCAGTCGATCGAGGCTGCAAGGTCGTGGGTTCGAAGAGGCACGTCTGAGTTGAGGAGAATTTTGTTTGAAAAGACGACGGTTCTTTCAAACTTTTATCTCCAAAGCGCTACCCTGTCGAGGTAACCAAGGGGAATTGAATTGTAGCCCGTCTAACAAATTTGACGGTGACCGGAAGACAACCCAGCTTTTTTTCAAGCCACAAATCGTCTGTATTTTGTCATCCTCTGTGTAGTTACCTTGGCGCGATGTTTGAAGTTTTCCGACAGTCGAGGGATTTGAGACTAGGCAAAACTCATCTGGGGATTGATTTGAGAATCTGGGAAGCGGATACCGTAAGCTCAATACGATTCAGAGCCCTGAGACTCGTTTTTCCTCCACCAGAAGAGGCATCCGCAAGCTGTCGGAGCGCCGTAGTTAACGCCCATTGTGCGTAGGAACGTCGGAAACGCCGTACGCATGCATACTTAGCTGCAGTGTCTAGCGCTTCAAAATTCAACATCAGTGGTAGAGTTTACTTGGCTTACGAGCGATGAGCCCGCCTCGGGAGTCGATGTGGTTGGACAACCAGAAATGAGAGAAGGGTTCTTCTTTTCAGTCATGAAAGCCACATCAGAGAGAGTTCTTCTTTTCAGTCATGAAAGCCACATCTCGTGGTCGTACGACGTTGTCTGGTTTAGAATAAACTCGTTTCTTCATGGATGTGAATAAAACATTAATCGACCGAGTTCTTGCATCACGAACACTGTGGCTGGTTAGCGATCCGAAGCGCTCCTCCAATAAAGGACATCCAAGAAGATCTCACTGCTCCCTTCATCCACTAATCTAGGAACAGCTATAGTTGGGTGCACACATGAACGCCACATGACTTTTCTGGCCTCTCCTCATATCAGCGCGTCCAGGAGGCCACCGACAACATCATCTCCAATATTCCCAACAGTAACCCTACTGAGATATGTGAACATTTATCATCTTGAAGTGCTTGCACACTTTGATCACCAGTGGCCATGGGTTGATAACGTTTCGTTGGAACTTTGGTAGTCAAGCATCAACTGCCGTAACGTCCGGAAAGTAAGAACAGCTACCAGCCGCGTTGATCGGACAGAAAACCACATAGAGTTGAGCAATCTGTTGGAACGTATGGCACATGGAAACGTCAAGATTGTCCAAGAATTCGCACATCCATATAGGGCACAAACTTAGTTCAGGGGACAATTCTGGTTTATCTCACGACTCAGAAAACCCTTCGAACAGAGAAAATCCCCCTTAACATCGTTCAATAGACGCGGAATAATGTGTTTAACTACTATGGACAGATACGCAGCCCAAGTGGAGCTATGAAGACCACCAGGAGTTTGAACAGAAGCTGGCAGTGTAGTCGCAAATAAAATGAAGATAAAGCGCAAGTATCGGCTTACACGCCAGAAGATGAGCAGAAATACTCTGACATTCAAGACACACCTGCCGAATAGAGCGTTTCTGGTCGGTTGCCACCATTTCCTGAGCCCCCTTCCTTTAATACTCAAGGAATTAGCGAATGTCTTCGCCCCGCCCAGCAATCTTCCCCAAAAAGGAACTAATCCCGATCCCATGAGTGGCGATGACTGTCAGTTCTGACAGCAGATCCATTCCAGGAAACCCCCGTGGCGATGACAGTTCTGACAGCAGATCCATTCCAGGAAACCCCCGACCGGTCAGTTCAACGTGTGTTTTGTAAGCTCTTGGAAAGAATCGATCGTATCA